TTTCTCGCCGTGGTACCTATCGGGAGGCGTCCTCCATCACGGAGCCGGAGACCGGTTAGAGTCCATGAGGGAGCGGCATGGCAAACGGGTAGAATCGGTGGAAAGAGTCTTTATCCTATGGTTTACAAAGCTGCTTAGAATAGATAGAAATCATTGATTGGTTCTAGAAATAAAGGTACTGACAAGTGCTGACTTCAGTAATAGCATTCTTTGTTGCCGGAGTTCTCAAGACGCTGCCCGTAACCAAAGAAATAAAGCACGCGACTCGACGAGTGGGGGAAGATGATGGAAGCTCAGAGTCCCCGCCGTACCCTCATTTTCGGCCATGCTACCGTAGCCCCGCGCACACTTGCTGATGGAAGTAGCCCGGTAATCACAGTAGGTTTAGCGCTCTTGTCGCGGCGCAAATGCAAAATGGACGCCCCCATTCAAGCCTCAATGCACTGTAGAGAGAGGCGAGACCGTGACTGGCCCTGTTAATTGCACATGTTCGTTTGAACGGGACGGAAGGTGCTACTGGCCTGGTTTCACGAACTGGACAATTCCCAACAACTTCTCGTCAAATTCGTCATTCTCTCTTTTCTTTTCATCATTTTCTTCCACTTACACAGGAATTACTGTCTCATCAAGCAGGCTCAAACAGCATCTTCTCATACGCCGCTTTCAGACCTCGCACCAATCAGTAGCTTCATGCATGTTGCTCTCATTCTCCAACGCGCACTGGAAATCGACACTCAATCCCCTGCTAAATCGCTCCCCTCTGTGACTTAGTCTATGGAGCCGCAGCTCCAGACCCAGACCCAGAGCTAAACCAGGAACTAGCTCTAAGCCAGGGCTTAAACAGCCGGTCCAGCGATTGAGAGCTCTGAACCAGGTGACCCCGTCCCTAACGTCTAAGCCAGCGGAGCCCTGACGTCGTTTCAAACTCCCGCCGCAACCCTCCCAACAGCCGACTGTTAACTTCTTCCATTCCGATCTCTCTCATCTTTCTTTCAATTTCAACCTTCGCTCCTTTTCTCCTTCTGGCATTCAACTTGCCAGTTCGTCGCCGTCTTTCTTGCATATCCCTTGTCATCATCCCACCACCCTCTCACTGCTGAATCGCCGCCAGTCATGAGTACTGCCGCCGATCTGCCTGCCACCGGCCCTGGGCTTCGGCAACGGCAATCTGGGGTTGATCCTCCTGCCCAGCAAGACAAGCCTCAAGCAGAACAAGGGCATAGCCGCCAGTCATCTGATGTGCCTTTCCCATCTGATAAGTCTAGTAAGACGTATGGTCGAACCCCAGACGGCACAGGTATGTACAATCCATTAAGGTTGTTGTGGTGGTGTGTTGCGTCGGTGCGTCTTTGGCTGACTGTCACATGTAGTCTTTATCGTACCCACAACCCATGATATGGTTTCTCAGCTTTTGGATCCTCGACAACCTAAGAACCTTTCTGATGCCATTGTCTTGACAATTTTGGGTCTTCACATCTTAGCTGCTTATTTCTTGCCATCTAGCTCGAAACGTATTGTTTTCGCTGCTATCTTCCTGTTCTGGCGAGCTTGTTACAACATCGGCATTGGTGTACTCCTCCAGATCCAGTCAAACCACCGACGTCTTGTCACTTGGGCTCGGCGCTGGAAGCTATTCGAGAACCCTTCAACAGGCAAAAACCCGCGACCATGGCTCTACAAGTTACTCAAGAACGAGCTCGAGACAAAGATCCCCGAGGACTATGAATTCGAGAAGGCCCCCATTGAGTACAATACTTGGTTGGTCTTCCGAAGAGTTGTTGATTTGATCCTCATGTGTGATTTCGTGTCGTACTGCCTGTTCGCCATCGTCTGTGGCCACACCCCTGAAGGAGAGAATCCTTTGATTGGTTTCTCCCGCTGGGCCGTTGGCATCGCCCTAATCGGCTTCAATCTCTGGGTGAAGCTCGACGCCCACCGTGTTGTGAAAGACTTTGCCTGGTATTGGGGAGACTTCTTCTATCTCATCGACCAAGACTTGACCTTTGACGGTGTCTTCGAGATGGCCCCTCACCCCATGTACTCGATCGGATATGCTGGTTACTATGGTATTTCCATGATGGCTGCTAGCTATGAGGTTCTCTTCATCTCAATCCTCGCTCACTTGGCCCAATTCGCCTTCCTCGTGATTGTCGAGAACCCTCATATTGAGAAAACCTACAACCCACCTCCCCCTCGCAAGCGAACCGTCTCCGGGGGCCAAAGTGATGCCATACCCGCTGATATGAAATCGCTTGAAGGTGCATTCGACCAACAGACACTTACGCCTGCTCAGAAAGACGAGCCCGCTCCCGTCCACAATCTTGTTGGTTTAAGCAATCTTGACTTGTTCCGCGTCCCTGACTTCGCCGTCATTCTTATGCCGTTCTATGTAGCCGTCCTCACTCTTGTGACACCTTCAACTGCCGTATGGCAGGCGGCCTTCGTGTTCCACGCTCTAGCCTGGCGTGTTTGGTATCATCTCGGCCTAGGTCTTATTCTCGACCAACAGTCTAAGAACAAGATGTGGACACGCCACTTCCTTAAATTCGGCGAGAGTGCTGGTGAAGCCTGGCGCCAATGGAAGGGCCTCCACCACATCAGCATGATCATGTGTAACACTGCATTTGTCGCCGCTTGCTGGAAGATGTACTCGCCTCCTGAAGATTGGGCCTATGGCCTGGTCCTGCTCAAACATGTTCTTGGTGCTAGTCTCGTTGCCCTTCAGTTGTGGACCGCATTCAGTGTCTATGATTCTCTCGGCGAGTTTGGCTGGTTCTGCGGCGATTTCTTCTTTGATCAACAGGCTAAATTGACTTACAAGTCTATTTACCGGTTCCTGAACAACCCTGACCGGTTCTTCGGGACGGCTGCAGTGTGGGGTGCCGCACTCATTACGTGGAGTCGATCCATTTTCCTTATGGCCCTGTTCACCCAGATCTTGACCGTCTACTACATCTCGTACATTGAGCGACCCCACATGCAAAAGATCTATGGTCGCAGTCTACGTCAAGAAGCAGGTCTTACCAAGTTCATCAAGAAATCATTGCCTCCTCCCGTCAAGGGATGGCAAGAAAGTGTCGACAAGGTGTTGGATGACACCAGCCAATTCGTCGAGGACTTTATCGATACCGCTCGCCCTAAATTCGCAGCAGGTGTTAAGACCATCGTGCGAGATACTTCGGCTCTTTTCAACATGGCTCCCGCACGACTTACCATTACGCGAATCGCTCCTGATCTAGAAGGTCATGATCCCAAGCTCTACTCTCTTTCTGTACAGGGCACTCCTGTTAATAACGCACCTATCGTCGAGAAATACACTGGAAAGGAGAGTTTGACAGGCCGATTCCCTAAGCCCGTTAAGACTATGGCTTTCGAATACGGAGCACCTCTTCGAGTGAAGTGGAGAGCCCCCGCTAACCACAGCAAGAAAGATTGGATTGGCCTTTACATGGTCACTGACAATCGTTCAAGGGAAACGACTGAGGTATCTTCTTTGGGACGATGGGCACCTACGAACGCTGGCTCTTATGATGCCTTGACTGCCGATGTTAGCATTGTGGTCGAAGAGCATCCGGTGACTTCTACTGAGATCACAGAAACCGATCTGGTCGAAGGTGAAGTCGTGTTTGAAGGTGACAAGTTGTGGTGGACACAAGGTGTCTTCGAATTCAGATACCATCACAACGGACACCATCATGCCATGACGATTTCAGAACCCTTCGAGATCCGAATCAGCAAGTTTGACGAAGAGGATGTCGATCTTGGTGCCAAGGGCTTGTATGAGCAAGCGGTCGAGGCCGCACTGCTTCCAATTGTCCAAAACTGCCTGGACCGTGATCCAGATATTGCGCCTAACCAGCCTGAGGAGCCTTTCGGGGGCCACGTCGAGCGCGACACAAAGTATGCCAAGAGAATTGTCTACGCCATTCGAGAAATGTTTGGCATCGAGTTTGCACCACCTGTAGTGGCCGCAGATGGAAGCGTTCGTAAACTTGCTTGGAGAATATGTAACGCTAAGGAAGTTCTGGTATGTACAACATCAATCACAAGTTTGCTCAAGGCTAACAGTCTACTAGGCTCCATACAGCATGTCCTTATCGAGAGGAACCACAACGCCTGCAATCCAGGACTTCCCGTCAGAAAAGGCTTAGTTGAGAAAAGAAAATATTTGGAGATGTTAGTGACAGATACTTTGGTGGAGATAGTGTAGGGTGATGAGGTGTTGGTTGGAGTGCTTTTGAGATACCAAAAATGAAGTAAGAGGATACTAAAAATAACGAAATAGTTATACTTAGAAAACACTCCCGTAATACTTCTATGCTGATGGAGTAATGGAATTGGTATTCCAGATCGGATGAACAGATCAATGCACGCACGTTGATCCTTCGGCATGCCTCAAGGAGCATGAATACTTCAGGCCTTGTAACAAACGATACTAAAATAAGTTCATCAAAGAGTCCCCTAAGCTCATAATAATTTACCTGGGTATTTTCGTACTTTGGGAACAGGGCCCTAAGTTGTAGTCTGTTGCCTCACCCAGGAATGATATGATTCCTAAAAACAAGCATCCAACCCATCAAAATATCACCGAAGATGCAGCCAGCTGAAACTGTTTCTGAAACAAATCGCTTCCCGCGGAACGACGTTGGAAGCTGAACTCTAAATCCATGCTTTTAGTGGCAACACTAGATCCATCTGGTGATACTTGCATGCAAAACGAAGTCATCACAGTGTCACTACCATTTGCACGGTTACTCTAGTGTATTCCTTCAGAGCCCAAGACTCAATCTCACTTCTGCATCTTCACCCCCATTTTGGTTTCATCACAGAATTGCTATCTCTTGGCCGAATCTCTTTGTTCTTTGATCGGCATTGTTGTTTCACCCATGCTCTCATCCTGGCTGATAACTTGCGGCTAGTGCGGTCAAGCTGCGTCAGCTCTAACCTCGTCATAATCCTCAGCTTCCTACTACCATAACACTGTCCATCGGCTGGAGACAATGAAGTTCCTCGGCCATCAGAGACTCTCAAAGAACCCCTTCCGGGATAATAGCATAACACTTCTCGTCTCATCACTCCTTCTCGCCGCGCCTATTACTGTGTTTTTGCTCCATTGCGTTTATCAGACTTACTACCGCAAAGGCGCGCACTGGAGTCACAACCATGACATTCTTGAATTCAACACTCACCAAGAGCCGGATGTGTTGTTATATGTTGCGTCCTACAGTGGACTTGTCACGACGTTAAATCTCTCCCTTGCTGAGTATCGGGATACACCTGTGAAACTTGAAACATTGTCCACAACAGATGGGTGTGCTGGAAGCCCTTCATGGCTCACACTCGACTGGTATAACGGAGTGCTCTATTGCACCGATGAAGGACTCAAAGACGGCAAGCATGGGTCGTTGGCATCCTTCGCAACACACGAGAACGGCACTTTGACACTTTTGGCAAAGACTTCTACAGTCTTTGGCCCTGTGAGTGCGGTCATGTATGGCGAGTGGGATTACGGGCTGGCAGTAGCCCATTAGTACATATTCCCGTTCGAACATAAGGTTCAGCATCAAACGGCTAACGCTCCTCAGTGGCGGTTCGGCATTTACGACTTGGGACATCCAAGATCCAGCAAATCTCACGTCGCTCAATGTCCAACAGTTCAGCCTTCCCGAGCCTGGTCCGGACCCTTCAAGACAGGAGGCTCCACATCCCCATGCTGCAGTCGTTGATCCGAGCAAACGATTTATTCTTGTTCCCGATCTGGGAGCAGATATGATTCACATATACGGCGTTGGGTTCGGAGATCTGGGCCTGTCCAAGCTTGATCCATTGGTCGTTGCTCCCGGCACCGGGCCCCGACATATCGCCTTCGTAGTCAAGGAGACCAAGACATTCATGTACCTGGTCACCGAGCTGGCCAATACCATTATCGGCTACGAAGTCGTGTATGGTGGCGATTTTATCAGGTTCAAGGAAATATGGAACAGTGGCATCCATGGAGAAAGCAAAGACGTGCCGCAAGGCGCTGCAGCCGCCGAGATTGTAGTATCAGTAAGTGTGTTCACAACCCTTGAGCTGCGTTTGTTCTAACTTTTGAACAAAGCCGGACAGAAAATTCCTGGTCGTCTCGTCTCGTAATGAAAGCGCTCTCCAAGTTCCTGACTTTGACACCAACAGCGGCACTATAGCATCTGATCCTTTAGTGAGTTTCAAAATTGACTCGGAAACCGGGCATCTCACTCTCCAACAAGATATTCCATGTGGAGGCAGATTTCCTCGTCACTTCTCTATCAACAAGGCGGGAACGTTGGTAGCAGTGGCTCTTCAAAGCGACAGCCGTGTCGTCATTATTGAGAGGGATGCCAAAACTGGAATCCTGGGTAATTTCATCGCCTATGCAGAGGTGAAAGGCGAAGTTACAGCCGTGGTCTTCTACGAGTGATCATGAGCTTCGCCGTTTGAAGAAAGATGCCTCACAGCCTCTTTGTTTCCGTCTGGCGTCATAATATGCATCCGTCTCGGTATCTCTCGTCCGCGCAACTGAGAGTTTCATGACGTATGGCTATCCGTCCCAAAAACCCCAACCTTATGGGTATCGTTTTGAATTCGCAGGTAGTTTCGGGTTGACGGCTGCCGGATCCGAAGAAGCTGTGGGCTGCAGAATCAGGGACACTTGATGGATGCCCATTATTCACTTGATTGGTGTTGGGCTACCACAACTGCTCGATCGTGTTGTTGTGACGCAGGGGATGATGTGAAGCACACTACATTAGCGTGTAGGTTGTTGTGTTTTTCATGCAGCGACCTCGGAGAACGTAAGAGACTGTCAGTCCGTCCGGCCTTGACTAAACTGTTACTCTCCCGCGGGTGCAATACTTGCCGGAGTCGTATCGGGCACTGGATCTCCCGGATGCCCAAAATGGGAATCGAGGAGACTGTGGATTTGGAGATCAGGTCGTAGCCTGGCAGCAAGGCTCAAGGTGATGACCAGGGTGTCGAAGACCCTGAAGATGTTGTCGATGTGGGCAGCGGCACGGGTTCTTGGCAGCTCGATCCTCTAAATGGTTGAGCAGCTTGCTATAAAGCTTACTGGGCAAGCCTGATGTACGTATGGGATTGTCAACATCATCTATTTGAGTTCTGATAGGAAATGTATCTTCTAATTTGAAGATATTGTCTACTCCCGAGTCTGGATATATTGAAGCCGTGACCCGAACCGATGGGTTTCTGTCTGTGCCGTGCCGTCGTCTGGAGTCTCTGGACATGGTAGATCAAGGCGAGTGTGAATTAGCCGGAAGATCCATCAAATAACCTTGCCAGCAGTTTTCCGTAAGCGGACAAAACGTGCCACACCTTTTAAGCTTCCCCGCAGGTTGACAGGCGTCTCGAGACGAGCACCCCAGACCGGAGCAGGCTAAAACCGAACCCCAGGTTGGTCACGGGCTGAGATTTGGATTGGACTGGGCTGCGAGGCTCCAACGGAAGAGCACTCCTATTCGGGCCGTTACATGGATCGGGCGCATGAGCGCTTGTCATGATGGGTGAGGTCGAGCGACGGTGCGTCTGGGCAAGGCAATGGTCTAATGTAAGTAAGTCAATGTAAGCATTAGGAAAGCTGAGACCAGATTTCGATTTCGAAGCCACGTTTATTGGAAACAAAGGTGTGTGCGTCATATTAATATATCGGATGAGCCGGAGATCGGTATTTGAAATAGTATTCTGCATCAAAATCGCCAAGTGAGGAAGTGGGATTCCCAGTAAGCATCAAGTCCGTTTGGGGTTGAAAGATTTGCAGACCCCATGGTCATGAGCGAGAGGTCCGGATGCCATCCGAGACAGTCAATCACTTGCTGTTGAAGGTCCTCTCCTCTCGTGGCGATTCCAACCCCGCTGGGGTCTAGAACCGTTAATGACCTTGACGGTGACGGTACGGTTGTCTGTCAAATCGTGGTAAAAATGCATTATTCGGGGCTCATTATGCCACCATTTGGAGGAGACGTATCTATAAGATGGGGTACTCGGCAATAAGACGATCGTATTATGTCAAATAGCAACGATAAAGAGAGGATTGCAATGTGATCACGTCGTTAAACTCAAGGATGAGGCATGATATTGTTGTGTTTTAGTTCCAGGTGCATTTCAAGCAATGAAGTGGTAGAACTGGGATGTTTATTAGCTTCTCCCATGTGTTCCTTCCTTATTACTCTTGATATTGCTGCAAGGGCAGTACGGCAGGCGCAACATGGGACGACATTTCCGCTCTTCCCCCAAAGCTTCAAGCACAGTATGTGCCTGGAATCCACATACGAAGCAACAACAACATTTAACCTACATCTCCATCATGGAACACTTACCAACTTTGGACAACAAAAATTCTGTCAACAACTCCAATCTCAGGCAAGAAATTGAACCTCATCCTCCAGAAATCGCTTCTCCACACGCAAACGGTCGTGCTGCAAGGATTCCCACCAATCCCCCTCTAGAGCCGCCCACCTCCATCTCAACCTTATCCCTGTCATGGCGGGTTAAACGAGAACAACTGGCTTGAGCCACCCAATCCTCTGGGGAACACATGGAGTTGATGCTTGCGAACGCTTCAGGAAGGCCAGGACAGCGTGACGGGCAGCTTTATTCCCACAGTGCACCACAGAGCAGAGCAGCTACTACGTACGGTCTTCTCCAGACTCTCTTTGCTGACGCCCTGAGACACCAGATTTGGAAGCGAATCGCCTTCGTACCAAGAAACAAAACGTACGCCACCACCACTTTAAGCAAAACTGCCCCCGAGACAAGTCATTTCGGGTTTTGCTCGACATATCATGCCATGCTTAAAATCAACTTCTCAGGTACCTCGAGCGCGGAACCGAGTACATACACGTTGACCGGGTCTATCCATTGCTGGATACTCTCTTCGGCCGACTTTGTTGGGCCAATAAATGACCCATCCCATCTCTCCAGAAGTCCCCCAGGTTGACTCTCTACCTTTCTTACCTAGTCTCTCCCGCCCGGTTCTCCACCACCCTCTTCCGAGTTCCACCGCCCGCCGACCCAGGGTCCGGGGTTAAGTCCAAGTGCAGCTACTGAATAACGGGGGCTCGGAGACCCTTGTCCTGGCTCTTCCCCCATACATAACCATTTACTCCTCCATTTCGGTTGCAGGAAAGGACGCCTCTTTCAACGTTCAGTGTCTCGAGAACATTTTGGTGTTCTTATTGTGAGACTGACGTTGTTCAGTTGTCTATTGGAACGCCCAAACCGCGAATCATTTCCCAAGGAAACCAGTTGCTCTTCACCAGCTAAAGTTCAGCACAACATCAAAGCTTGAGCTTTCGTCGCATCGTCTGATGCTCATCTCACCATTCCCGACCATCGGCCTTGCTACATGATGCTGGTTTGCTGAAAGGACATTTCGAGTCGTGCGCATCATTGCTTTGTTCATGCCGCTACACCAATTCAACTAGAACTTATTCTCGAGGCCATTCCTAGATCCCGTTTCATTTGACGCCAATCTATCATCATGTCCGCATCATCGACAGGCGAATCCCTCCATTCAATCTCTCTCAACGGAGCGCGACCATTCACAGTACCTGCACGCGACAGCTTTTCTCTCGAACTTCCGATGTCTTCACTTACAGCAATGTCGGCTGACGCCTCGCTCAAGTCCCCTGTCAGCTACAAAAACCAGCGGACGCCCAGCTTCAGTCGGGAGGGCATACTAAGCGCATCTCAAAAATCCCGACATCTTTCGCAGTCATCTGACAACAGACCTGACAGCATGTCCAATGGCGCGCAAAAGGTCTCAAGCGATGAAGGATCGAACCCACTCAAAAGGAGGAATACCGAAACGGGTGTCGATTACCCCCGCCGTAGGGCCACTATTGCTGTGCGTCACTACACCATTTTTATTTTGTTTATTAATATCATTTCCGCTTTTGTATACTGACTCCCACTAGTGCGAGGTTTGCCGCTCAAGGAAATCCCGTTGCGATGGCACAAAGCCAAAGTGCAAGCTCTGTACGGAGCTTGGTGCTGAATGCATCTATCGAGAGCCAGGCATTAAACTTGACGCTGGTGACAAGCTGATCTTGGAGCGTCTGAACCGCATTGAAAATCTCCTTCAGATGAATATGGTGAACACAACGGCAAATGGACTTAACCTAACTGACAATTCGCCTGGGATGAGCAATGGCACGGGGCTTGATGGAGACAACATGATGTTGTCGGCCAATGCTGCCTCTTTTGGCTCTATCCCCAATGGTGGATTTGGGACTTGGTCCGCCCAACCGACCGGAACCAATATCTCTACCATGCCTAAAGTCCACACTAATGCCACCATGCATTTACTACAATGGCCCTTGATCCGAGATTTAGTGTCGCGACCATGCGATCCTCAGATTCTGCTACAACTGGAAATGGCACGAGAACCACTCCATACTCTGACCAAAACTCCTTGTGTGGACTTGTCAAACACCCAAGCTTACATCGAGGCTTATTTCGAGAGAGTTAATATATGGTATGCGTGTGTCAACCCATATACCTGGAGGAGCCAATACCGCACAGCCTTGTCCAACGGTTTCAGGGAGGGGCCGGAGAGTTGCATTGTGCTTCTTGTTCTTGCCCTGGGTCAGGCAAGCTTGCATGGCAGCATTTCGAGAATCTTGCCCCAGGACGATCCCCCTGGACTGCAATATTTTACTGCAGCATGGTCGCTGCTTCCAGGATTAATGACTGCCAACAGCGTAGTGGCGGCACAATGTCATCTCCTTGCTGCTGCTTACCACTTTTACCTAGTCCGCCCTATGGAGGCATGGAATCTGCTTTGCACAACAAGCACGAAGCTACAGCTGCTACTTATGGCCCCAAGCCGTATCCCAAGCCACCAGCGAGAGCTTGTGGAGCGAATTTACTGGAATGCATTACTCTTTGAGAGTGATCTTCTCGCGGAACTCGACCTACCCCATTCAGGGGTTGTCCAATTCGAGGAAAACGTCGGCTTGCCCTGTGGATTTGAAGGAGATGAATCTGAGCAAGTCGGTCGAGATGAGCTTTGGTACTTTCTTGCAGAGATTGCTCTACGTCGGCTATTAAACAGAGTGAGCCAACTCATATATTCTAAGGACTCGATTGCATCAACAACAAGCCTGGATCCAGTGGTGGCAGAGCTCGACTACCAACTGAGTCAATGGTACGAGAGCTTACCACTACCACTGCAATTTCCTTTCACTCGAAATGCGCTGCAAGATCCGGTTCAAACTGTCCTTCGACTTCGATTCTTTGCCTGTCGCACCATTATATATCGACCATACATTCTAGCAGTGCTAGACAATGAGCAAGCAGTACTGGATCCTGCTGTGCGGGAGAACTGCCACAAGTGCTTGGAAGCTTCTATTCGACAACTCGAACATATCCATGAACAGTGAGCCTCCATTTCCTTTTGAACATAGCCAATAGCTAACATGCGCCTAGTCATGCCGGTCATATGCCATACATCTGGCAAGGTGCTCTATCGATAGTCTCCCAAACGTTACTCATCATGGGTGCCAGCATGTCGCCATCGCTGCTCAGCATTCTGCTAACCCTAGTGCCTCACCGTGAGGCGCTGGACCAAATGATCAACGATGTTGTGATAGAGGTTGAACGATATGCAACCCTGGCCCCTAGCTTGAGTCTGTCTTCGGAAATCCTCAAGGAGGCAGAGGTGAGAAGACGCGCGTTCCTCGGTACTCCGTAGGTGCCGGTCGATCTGTGTCAGATTGATAGACGGCACTCAAAACGAAACCACAAGGCTACTTCGTCATCAGCTCTGACGTACGTTATTCTTTTACTTCTGCTTCAGACTGCGGCGTTATTCAATAGTAACGCCGCCCCTTACCCCTATACGACTAAGATACGCCCCATGGGTGCAATTGCTACCCCAAGAAACTTGGTGGGCTGTATTGTCGCCCCGGGAAGATAATTCTGGGGTGATATCCCGGGGTGCAGTGTCGGGGAATATGACTTTATTGGTTGGATGTTGAGCCAGCACGGTTCTGCGGGCCGGGTGTCCGGGTTTTCCCAATACACTGGCTTCCAAGGATACTTCAACGATCCTGATAGTATAAGGATCTCTGATTGATGTAATGTAGATCATGCATAAGCTAGTTGCCAGTGCTAGCTGGAGGTTCCCTGGGGGAATTGGCGTACAGATTTCTCAGCTCTGATTAACCATCAAAGAACATGATGACGTCTCTTATGATAGCATCTATACCCATTTGTTTAATTGTACAATATTAAGAACATGAAGATAAAGCAAGAAATATCATGGCAGTCGAGCTAAGACATTAATTTGTCTACATAGGGTTATTCTCACACCTCGGTATCAATGACGTTTTGCTGTCTTATAGCCCAATGCTCGCCGGACCCTTCATGCAGAAGGAGAAGTAGAACGCAGCGAATTGTGTCTACGCATATGACAGACATGATGTAATAGACTAGACATCTCACTTGCGTAGAAGTGCATGAATAAGATGGTGACACCAGGGGCCTAACATAAGACTCCTACGTAGTAGACACATGCTCGCAAGGATAATGATACTAACTATAAGGGGCGTAAAAGACCCTGCAGATTGCTAAGGAAGTCAAAATCACAAGAGAACAAAGGCCATTGGGAGATCGGCAGGAACGCCGTCATATCCCGTAATGGCCGCTCCGTTCCGAGGAGGCCCGTTATGGCTGTCCGGACCGGGCCGAGTTTGATGACCCACATGAAGCAATCGCCGGTATGATGAAAGTCCGGAAGTGTAGGTAGCTACAGTGAACCCCACGCGGGAACGGAAGATGGTTTTAGAGTCATAGAGTTTCGGGTGAGGTAGGTTTTAGGGGTTGAGTTAATTGATGATGTTAGTGGGGGCGATTCATGATGTTCTGTCTCGAGTGTCTGGGGACAGAGGTCAGATCTCGCCACAGTGATGTTATTTCTCCGGTGAGTGTCAAAAACAGGCAATGATAGATATTTCTTGCATAAGATATACAGCGTTTGCATTGATTGAGCAAATGCTCAGTGGACAATGAATATCTGGGGGTTCGTTCATGTGCTCTGTTCGTGTAGTGCAATGCAATGTCTCAGTTAGCTCAGCCACGTGACATCACACCGACAAAAACTGATCATCCACAGTCTCATATTTTCTTGTTTGGGGATACCCAGCCACCCACGAAGTTATCGTGGGACAAGAACTACCCTATTCCTACCCGTCGAGTCGTATGATTCTAGCTCGTACGGTGTTATGCTGTGCAAGCACATATGACTCTATAACGAAGGGTCTACGGATACTCTATGAACTCAACATCAGTCGTTACCGGGTCTAAGAGCAAAAGGGACAGGGCCTGGTCTACAATAACCCAGCCCAACCCAACCCCCCTGGCCATTTTCAAAACCCACCCACGCGGGGGAGGGGCACTTTGATTCGTTTCTAGATGCCTGATGCGTTAGGTGATGTGAGGTAACTGGCCATTAAACCAGGCCCAAACTTGGTCTGCCGCGTTATCCTGTGGAAGCATAGCAAGCTACGGAGAGTGCAGACGCTGAGGAACGTTGCTCAATGTCTGCATATGGAGATTGTCTGTGTTACTCTCCTCTTTTTCTTCTCCGACTTTTTGATATTCCATTCATCTTCTCTTCTTTATCACTTCTTCCTTGGTTCCTGTACTAGTTCATTGAGGCCCATCCGAGAGACAACGTCGTCTCGCGGCCCAACTTGTAAGGCACCAGAAGCAGAACCACACACATCCAATCCTTTTCCATTCTCTACCTCTCGCCCCAACTTCCGACTCGACTCGACCTCGACGTGACGCTGCAAGCTGCAAGCTGCGGTTGCCATGCATGATCAGCCCCCAGACTCCAATCATCTTTGGGGGGTGCAATTGCTCACGCAGCGTGGACTTCGTTGAGTGGCTCGACCGCTCGTCATCACGACTGCTTTGGCCCTTGCCCGTTGCGTTCCGACATATAAACTAGTCCAGCCTAGGACGCCAGACTCTCGCTGTCCACTGTCCAGCGCGCGCTGAGCTGTGCTGTTGCTGCGCTGTGCCGTGTCCCCCCTTCTGGGTCCTGCAGGAGTCCATCCATCCCACTCAGCAAAAATGAGGCTAGGATACGATCGAGACGTCGCTGATGGAGAGGCCCGACTTCCACTCGTGCGTCGCAGGCCCCTCCGCCCTGAATCTCACGATTGGTACGGCCCCAGTGACGTCGTGCCCTATAACCAGTACCCAATGCCCCATCGGACACGAATCGACGAACTACAAAGGCCCAACGGAAGGACACCCAGGGGATACTCGAGGAGTATGAGCCTCGATGCATACCCGCCTACAATGCCCATGCCGCCAGCACACCTGATGCGTGCCTCGACAGATGTCTACAAGAAACGCCCTCAGTTCTCGGTATATGAAGCAGACGAAGACGACGAGGATGATGAACGCTGGCCGGCCATGAAGCCACGGGGTAGACACCCGGAGCCCGCGAGGCCCCGGCAGGTGGTCCGAAGACGGAGAGAACCTACGCCCGAGTCGACACCACCCACAGATAGTGAGAGCGAAAGTGAAAGTGAGAGCGAGGAGAGCGACGATGAGAACCAGATAGAGGTTGTGGTGGAAGAACCAGAGGACAAACATAGACGTCATCATCGTCGACACCGTCGATCACCCAGCCCAGACGATTATCTCAGTTCGCCAGATGAAAAGAGGACACCACGGAGACGGAATAGAATACCATCGCCATCGACATCAGACGAAAGAGACATAAGATATCGACAGGCTTCTTCTGAAAGAGGCTCACCGGACCGCAGACCTGCTCTGAGACGAGAGATCAGCGACACACCTAGATACAGTCTTCCCACAAGATTCAATAGTGTGCTTGGTGCTTCTCGGCCGCCTGTAGCGTCCAGAAGGTAAGCTTTTTACAACTGCTACTCACCCCCAATACTAATTAAGAATCAGAACTGCCAAGGTTGTTGAGTCTCGTGAATTAGTCCGCGAGGGCCGTCCTCGGAGACTACCTATAGCTACAATTGAAACTGTTGAAGTTTCTAGGGAGTCTTCACGACGTCCCCCAAGTATAGCCCGCAGCGGCTTTGATTCATCCAGAAATTCATCCCCAGACCGGCCGCGTTTAATGTGAGTGGCGTAAATCACATTGTGTCAATCAATTGCTAACAACCATACTACAGTCGTGATTGCAAGGGTTGTTTAGATGAAGTCCCTGTATCCAAATGCCCCAAACTTGATTGCGGCCATCGCATGTGCCACAGCTGTCTGAAGAGGCGGTTCAAGCAATCAATGACAGAAGCTGAACATATGCCGCCAACATGCTGCACCGATGCCCACATTGGTCTGGAGCATGTCGATAAGCTTTTTGATTCTACCTTCAAACGAATATGGAACAAGAAGTTTGTCGAGTACTCCCTCAGGAACAGGCTCTATTGTCCCTCACGACGATGCGGTGAATGGATCCGACCAGCTGATATTTACCGCGATCGCGAGACGGGACGCAAAGCTGCTCGTTGTGATCAGTGCAACACTAAAGTCTGTGTCGCCTGTAATGGCAGGTGGCACTTTGCGAGCAAGTGTCCCCGGGACGAAGAGACGGCGAGCTTTCTTGAGTATGTCAGAGTCGAGGGGCGGAAGAGATGCTATAGATGCGGTGCTTCAGCTCAGCTCCGAGAGGGCGACAATCATGCCTTATGGTGAGTGTTCTTTCACACTTGAATATGGATCCTTCTAATATGTACAGTCGATGTGGTGCCGAATTTTGCCTCGTGTGTGGAGAGAAACCCAAGAGATGCGAATGTCCATGGTTCGACCCTGATGCTCCCGAATCCGACCACGAGCCAGATATTACACATCGAGGCGAGATTCAAGTCTTTCGTGAAGATAGCACTGAAGAAGATTCTCGTGTTGCTAGACGGCCACGAAAGTCTAAACCTACACGACCCCCGATTTACGATGAAGAAGCTATTATGCGTCAACAACAGGAGGAACGTGATGACGAATTGGTCCGCAGGTCACATTACCATGGCAAAGACTACGAATACGATATTGGCGGTGCTCCAGAAGTACCTAGGTCCAGCGATCCTTACTCAGGCGACAGTCCTCGCCGTGTAGGTCGCAGAGTCGTCGGCGGTGCTCCCCCATCACCAAAAGACTTCGAAAGAGGCACCCCCAGAAGCGGAGGATACTACGGCGGCCGCATGGACAGACGCCATGCCGAAGACCGCTACGCCCCAGACTCTCCAGGCATGCGCCCACCACCGATGGGAATGCCACCTCCCGTGATAGAAGAGGGATACCGCGGAGGCGTAGGGCCTCTGATCGTGGAGCGTGATCCGAATACTTACGACGATGATGATTCGTACTACAGCCACAGCTCGCGCAGTCGAAAGGGCACGCGGCGCAGTGAGAATCGCAGGTCATCCGAGCTCGCCGGCCTCGGTCCACGGACCCCGGGAACGAACCGGATCGATGTCTGGCGGACGTTTGTTGAGCCCGGCGATCCCGAGGGGGAGATAGCAGCCGCAGCTGCTGTGACCGCATGAAGTTGACGAAACGACCGCTTTCTTATACATTTTTGATCTCGAGCAAGATTGATAGATTGTCCTTGTTTGTACGATAGTCTTTCTTTTTTGGTCTAGGGTTTAATTTTGGTGGGAACTTGTCGCATGGGATGTTACGCAAAGGCCAACAGAACTCTCTAGACGCATGACATGTCATGGTAGAAGCATAAGCATAAGCGAGTGTGAGCATTGGGTCTGAGAAGGATAAGATGGATAATACTTGATGTCATTTAGCCTTGATATTTCTTCATAAATTATTCATTCTTCTCCTAAAATGCTTCTATGATAGCTGAAAGACACGTGTGGGCCGGGCCAGATAATCTGCACCAACATCCAGACAACACAATTCACAAGATACGGCAAGATAATTGGCCCCTCCAACAGTATTCTAGTTATCATAGAGCCCCTTGAGCCCATCTGCAGTGCGCTTACCCAATGCCTCCAACGTTCCCATGCTCGATCTCTTGCTTGAACTTGTCATGTTGAGTGCTGGCTCCGGCGCTACGAGACAGGAAGACCAAGTTGCGGGCGCCTCTTTCGACCATCCAGACGGAAAGGGCGCGACCTAAACCACCCAGGCCACCAACAAGCAGATATGTTGCGCTTCCGTCAAGTTGGAGATCGGGTTTCCTAGTGGCCTGAACAGGGCCAGTCAAAGGCTTTCCGGCAGCATCTCGGATCTCAAGAACAATCTTGCCCATGTGTTTGCCTTGCTGCATGTGTCTGAAGGCATCAAGGACCGCAGAGCCAGGGAATACCTGGTCGACCCGGATCGGTTGGAGAATGCGGTTGGAGAAGCAGTTCATAATGAAGGAGAGAAGACTGCACATGCATATGTCAGCAGTGATACTATATCAGGGGTATAATGACCTTCCGGTTGATGACTTCGGGACGCTCAGCTCTCATTTGATCGACATCGAGGCAGCAATAGTTGCGGTTTTGCAAGAAAGGACTCATGTCGAGTTGAGCATTCTCGAGAAGATCCCTCTTACCAATCTCAACCATGGTGCCCCATTTGGCGACGCACTTCCATGTGGCATGCAGAAGTTCTCCGCTCAGCGAGTTCAGGGCGACATCAACACCTTTACCTCCAGTCTCTCGTAGCAGGTCTGTGGCAAATGAAGCTTCCCTGGAGTTAAATATGTGGCTTCTCGGGATGTCGTATGTCTTGTTCAAGTACTCAACCTTGGCCTTACTGCCCACTGTTGTGCAAATCTCGGCGCCCAGCATACGGGCCACCTGGATAGTAGCAAGTCCTATACCGCCACAACCACTGTGAATGAGAACAGACTGCCAAGGAGGTCAGTTCAACACTCGATATAGTCAGTATATGTGTCACTTGAACGTACCTGGCCTCTGGTAAGGCGTCCCAGATCAATAAGGCCATAGACAGCAGTCAAGAAGACAGGAGGGATGGTCGAGGCTTCAACAAAGCTGATGTCGTCGGGCAGCTTTTGAGCAAGAAGTTCAGGCACACTCACAACAGTACTGAAAGTATCCTCTCCCACAAAGACAGTGCGATCACCGGGACGAAACTTGGTGACGTTGGAGCCAACCCTTCGAACAACGCCGGCTGCTTCGTAGCCAAACTTGAGACTCTTGGGCGGTGGGATGACTCCCATGGCAACCAAGACGTACTATTATCTCCAAGTTAGTAAGGGAGTATCTTATATGTATAGGAAGGGTACTTACGCGGAAATTGAGGCCACTGGCATATACTTCAACCTCGATCTCGTTATCCTTGAAATCAGTTGCAGGCTGTGATGCCCAAACCAAGCTCTCCAAACGACCCGGCTGCGTCATTGTGATGTATGCCTCGCTCTCACTCATCTTGTCCTCCAATTCCTTATCCAGCGCGGCCGGGAAGATTCGATTCACCAGAAACTCACCGCTACTAATGACATACTCCAAGTCGGGACCAAGAACACCATCCTGACTCCTGGTCTGGAACTGGGTCAAGACCTTGACCAGAGTTGCCAGGTTCTCAGGTGCTGTGATGTTGTCGACCTCGCACACAGCGATATCCGTAGATGTTTCGTTGCGAAGATTGCGAGTGAACCCAATGGTCTGAGCGAATCTGGGATCCTGACACTCAACACTCGACGGGCGTGTTACCCAAAGAAGACCATTGGGGTTCTGGACACTGTTGATAAATGCCTTGAGCTGTGTGAACCCGTTGCCGTTGATACTCTCGAATAAATGGGCCTTGCTCATCGAGAACAGCCACAATGTCCTGACCAAGGGGAGGAGTCTGGTCCAAAAAGCAGCGATCGACAGTGTAGCCTTGAGTTTCAAGCTCCTGTGTCAGCTCAGAGGGTCCTTGTTCAAGACATAGCAGAGTGATTCGCTTTGTAGGCGTGTTCTTGGGCTCCCGTCTGGCCACTACAACAGTAGCAGCCCAAGGAGCAAGACTCAGCCGTTCCACATCGGTAAATTTGAATGTTTCTAAGAGTCTTTGGAGTGTTTCCGATTCCATGATGGACCCTTCAATACGTTGGTCCTCGTGTGACCACCACCCTTGAGTGATTCCGAGAACGAACGGCACCCATAATGAATCAGGTCGAGGTTCCTGGAGTACAAGCCTTCCGGTAGGGCTCAGCAAGTTTCGAAGGTTCTCAAGGGACTTGTCCGCGTTCCTGGCCGAGCTAACGGCTCCTGGGGCAATAATGAGGTCGAACTGTCGATCATCGAATCCTTGATCAGCTAGGCTCTGGCTGAGATCAAGAGTCGTGAATTCAATGTCAGGAACTAATTTCTTGAAGTGTTCGCTTGAAGCCTCGGGCATGCCTAGCAAAGGCGTGGCGATGATGTACTTGGAGAACAGACGGGTACCATCATTGCGAGTCAGAGCCTCGATAGCCTTGGTGGTTGTCTCGATAGATCCCGAGTAGAAGTCAAGGACTCTAAGTGTAGGCTTTTTGTTGCCGAGATGAAGGAGGAAGTCGGAAATATCTGGCTGAGACACCATTTCAAGTGGTGAAAGAGAGTCGAGCTCGGTGACTTCAGCCTCTTGTTGACTCAGAAGATCATGAAGCTTGTTATAGGTCGCTATCATGGCTTCCGCGGAAAGTCTCGCTGGTGACGTCCCGTTGTCTTGGATCTTCTGAGAAAGAGACTTGGACATGTTGGCTAGGTCCGCATCGTCAGAAGCTGCAAGGCTCGGGTCCATGACTTTGTCGAGCCAGTTCTTGTACTTCATGAGATGCGGAACTTGAACATCAGCACTGGCAGCCAATCGATGGGCCTGGGCGATCAATATCTTGGAAAGCTCCGTCAAGTTGTTGAATGAGTCCTCAGTATCCTCAGGACACTTCACAAGATCACCAAGCGACTTGAAATCTATGTCTGGCACCCACTCACATCGCGCCGTGATGGGAACCTTGGCATTGTCGCCTACGTCTCCTTTTTCAAAGAATGAAGAATGACAGTTGATGACTCGCATGACGGGCTTCGATCCTGAAAATACGGTGCCGCTACCGACAAGGTCCTGACCAAGCTCTGACGACACCTCGGTGCTCACTCTCTCATCAGTACATCGAGCCATAGTCATGAACTCAATGCTCAAGGCAACGAGTCGTCGGTAGGCACGGCGGATTCCAAGCGTGGATTTACAACTCACAAGTTGATAGAAGGTGTCGAGCACAATAGGGTGCATGTGATATTCTAAAGCATCCTCCCATCGGTTCTCGCCGTTCTTTATAGTAGTTAAGGCTTGGTGGGGTGGCTTTGTCGATGTTCTGATGCTTTCCATGGTGTTCAAGGTAGGTCCATATGTGAGTCCCTCTTCAGAAACTACTTCATACCACTTGGAAGCATTGACCTCTCGTGGCAGCACCTCGTCGCTTTTCTTGATAGCCTCTTTCTCGGGGAAAGGATTTTGCTCTCCCTTTACCTGTCCCCAACAATGCTTGATCCATACGTGGCCATTGTGCGAACTGACGGAGAACTCCCACCACTCACTGTCTTACTCCTCTGTCAACTTAACACGGCGTAGGGTCGTGATGATCTCTGTAGCACCATCTTCCTCAATGACCAAGGCCGCGTGGACCTTGACGCTTCGCAGGCTAACTCCTTCTTGGATGTCAGTGATTTGTCTGCAGGCCTCAGATTCGATAGCGATGTATCCCGCAAAGGGGAAGACTATCGTCTCGCCGATCTTGTGATCAGCGATCCAGGGGGTTCGTGACACCTGGATGAGGTTTCTCCAAGATGGTTCAAGGCTGGTGCTCTCATGACTCCTTATTCCCAGAAGGTTGTGGTCAGGGAACTCTCGCTCTCGCCATTCTTTGGCCAAGCGTGACTCGAAGAAGAGACGATTCTGGTGATTCCAGGGGTAGCAAGGCAGGCCAGCGACGCAAGAACCGCTGGGAAACAACGACTTCAAGTCAACATCCATATGCAAAGTGTAGAGCTTTCCAATGGCCTGTAGGAAGTTCTTGACGCTGTCTTGCTTTCTGACTAGGGATGGGATATACGAAGCCTTGCTTGCTTTGTCGGTCAGAATTTGCCTCAGGGGCCCAGCGAGAGCAGAGTGAGGGCCAAGCTCCAAAAAGACTTGGTGATGATTTGGCTCAGAGGCCGATATGATTGAAGACACGGCAGATCGGAACAATACAGGTCGTTCCAAGTTCGTCTGCCAGTACTTCGGGCCAAGTTGGTTCGCCTTTTCTGTCCCTGAGAGGCGTTTACCAGTCACGCTGGAAAAGAAAGGGATCTGAGGTGCTTTTCCAACAACTCCCGAATCAACGAGGGCTTCATGGTAAATACCGCCAGCACCCAGCATGTGATGAGAATGATAAGCATTGTCGACCTTGAGAGTAGTGGCGGGGATTCCTGGGTGAGCTTCCTTCACCTCGGCCACTACAGCTTGCAGAGGCTCAATATCGCCAGAAATGGTGACGTTAGTGGGCGAGTTGTCACAAGAGATCACTACACCAGGCTTGAGATGCTTCTCTGCCTCTGCCCATACAAGACCAACAGCAGCCATCCCGCCCTGTAGGTTCTTCTGCTCAGCGGTTGTTGAACCACAGAAGAAGGCAATGATGATGGCCTCCCTCGCCATCAAAGCCCCAGCAGCGTAAGCCGCAGCAATCTCGCCACTAGAGTGACCAACAGCAGCATCAGGCTTCACCCCGACCGAGGCAAATGTGTCAATGAGGGCGATCTGCAACGCTGTGCACAGCGGTTGAGAGAATTCAGCTTCGTAGATTCTGCTGGTTCGGGCTGGTTGGAGAATCTCCTCGGAGAGGGACCACGTTGGTGAAGCAGAGCCGAGCGTTCCAAGATGCTCCTGTAGCGCCTTGATAGTACCGGAGAATACGCTGTTTGACAGGAGTAGCTCTCGTCCAAGCTGGGGCCAAGCAGCACCCTGACCACTAAATACCATGATGAGGGAGCTTGGGGACGATGGATTGTCCCTGGAGAGCGGGGAGGTGCTGACTTCGATATTTTCTTTGTTATCGATGGCAAAAGACCTGTGGGTGAAGTGTTCTCTTCTGTTTGCAAGCGTATATGCAATGTCAGATAGGTTCGACACGTCCCCGCTGTCAAAGAGGGCCTGATAGCTGGCAGTCATTGCTTTGAGAGAGGGTGTAGTCTTGGCCGAGAACAGCAACAGCCTGGGGCCTTCATCCTAAGAGTCTGTTTCGGTCACTTGCTTAGCGATACCTTGCTGGTGAGTCACCATGAAGCTCTCGACAGATTCGACGATGGCATGAGCGCCCCCTTTGGTGTTCAAGTCGTCAATATCGTTACAGGTCGAGTCAAGTCTACGTTCTTCCAAAGTTCAAACGATGCTGTACTTCCTGAGGACTCAATCGATGCCGTGGCCAGGGAAGCCATTGAGGGTCCAATGAATGAGAGGACTTCAGTGAGCGATAGGGAGGAGGCGGAAGAGTGGGCAAAAAGAGTAGTTCAGGACTTGACTTCTGTCAATCCGCCACATCTCGTTTATAGAGGAGGTCAAGCTGGGACTGGTAAGCTAGCCTCTATTTTCCGGCTTAGAACATGGGACTGGTTGTTCAAGAGATGGTCGGGAATAGATGTACTAGAACAGGAGCTCAAGAAGCGAAAGGACCAGGGCAAATCCTAGAAATGAGTAAAGGCGGAAAGCCAGGAATGCATCTATACCCATCAATACATTGACATGTACATAGCCTGTCAACGATGAACTCCTACTTTCCCCCAGCCCTTACAAGACTAGCGAATCTGCTTCCTTCTGTGCTAGCCAACGCCCGAGGATTTCCAACCTCAACAAGCTTCCCAGTATCAAGGACCACGACCGTATCAAAATCCATAATCATATCCAGACGGTGACTTACGGCAATCACCGTGTATGCGTCAAACTCAGTCTCGATGATCCGCTTGATGATGAGTTCCATGTCCTGATCGACACTGGAGTTAACTTCGTCGAGCAGCAGTAAGCCACCTTGGTCCTCCATCTTTTCTGTCACACTCCCATGGCCTGTTGTCTTCTGTGCTCGGGCTCGGCGTCGTAGCAAAGAACGTCCCATCGACAGGAGCTGTCGTTGACCTCCGCTAAGAGTTGAAGACGTCATGCCAGCGTCGATACCGCCACGACCCTGAACAAAGTCCCATAACCCGATATCTATAAGAACAGATTTGCATTCATCCGGGGTTGAGAGGCCTGAAGGGTCCAGATTCTCTTTAAAAGTCACGCCATCAGGCAAGAAAACGGCCTCCTGAGGCACCGCAATGACTCGTTGACGAAGAACACGTCTGTCCAGCCTGTTAAGTGGGAGACCATCAATCAGAATACCTTCATTGGGGGTGCCTGGCAGAGGATCGAGGAGTTTCAGCAGCAAGGATACAAGACTTGATTTGCCACTGCCTGTCCGGCCGCAAATGGCCACCTTCTCTCCTGGCTTGATGCTCAGGCAAACGTTATCAAGAGCCAAATCAGGCTCATCAGCGCTGTCGCTCTCCATCCTTTAAGTATTTATTAGCAATTTCTCTCTGATTAGAACTTGTAAGAGAAGTTGCGTAACTTACTGATAGCTCGCTGAAATGTTGTTCAGTTCCACGCTGCCATGTTGTGGCCAATTCTCAGGGGGCACCATGTCCTCTCCCTCTTTACCCTCAGGTTTGACTGTTGTATTGAAAGTCTTGAGCCTGGAGATGGCGCCTATGGATGTTTCGAGGCGTGTGTAGTAAATGACGATACCAGATAGACTTTCTCCGAAACTCATAAGAGTAACCAAAGAAGCACCTGTAAACCCTGAATTTGAGTGCAGCCTCACTACAAGTATCGTTAATACTGCTGCCAGTAGCATGACTATCATGTCCAAGACGAGATTCAGCCACTCTTGCACCATGGCAAGAAGGTAGGCGGGCTGTTGGCTTCTATTGAGTAGCCTAGCATTCTTAGACACTTCATCGGAGATGTAGCCTTTATATCATCAGTATACTTACATCCATAAATTGCTAGGATGAGAGTCCATCGACTTGCTTCGTGAGTCAGTAACTTACCGAAAGCCCGTAGAGTCGTGATGCCCCTCACGGTGTCCATGAAATGGGTGCTAAGAGTTTGTAAGTCAAGAATGTCTGAATGGAGAAAGGCTCTGCCGTATAACTTACTATAAGGGGCTTTTAGCCTCGAGATCTAGCAGCCTTAGCTGTCTCCAAGTCCTTAGATAGAACTTTTGAATGGAGTAGAGTATCACAGCCAGGAACGGATAACTAATAGCCAAGTATGCCGATGAGATTGGCATAACTGCAGCTTGTCCGAGGGCTTGGAAAACCTATTCCTTGATGTTAGTAGTGTAATACTAGGGTCTGCTCATTTCGTAACATACACAGAACAAGGTGTTCAACAAAGCATCTGGAAGTTCAGTATCAATCAGATTTAGATCTTGTGAGAACAGATTGGTAATAACGCCGGTGTCGGTGTGTGTGAAAAAGGACAAGGGGGCCTGGATCAACGTTGTGAGTGTATCATGATGGAGATTAGCACCAGCTCTCTTGATCGACACAATAAAAAGAGTGATGCCGAGAAGTAGCAAAGAGATCAAAGCAGAGACCTGCAACAACGCGTATATGCCGACATAGTAAGCATGAGAGTGACTTCGGGTGTCCGATGATATATCATCAGTCCAGAATTTAATCCCTGTACATAAACCCATTAGTTATGTGACGAATAGTGACTGATTGAAGCGTTCTTCACTTACAAATGGTGGGGAAATTGGTAAAGAAGCCCCAGAGCGCAGCCAAGAAGAAACAGCAGAATGCTACCAAGAGTCCCATGCTCAGGAAATAGTACTTATAAACTGCCTTGTCGCCCGTTGCACGGTTCGGGTCATCGACGTTGACTTGGGCTCCTGGGGACCCGTCTGGTGAGCCTTGCGCATCCATTTGTGCTTCAGTCCGTTCTTTTGAGGCTTCTGTTTCAGACGCAGCGTCGCTCTCGTCACCGCCAGTTGAATCACGTATGCCGAGACTCTTGACGTAACCTCCTTGCTCGGCAAGTTCCTTGAAGCTGCCTTGCTCCTTGATAGTGTTATCTCCAAGTGCGATGACGTGGTCAGAGAATGGGAGAAAGCGAACGCTATGAGTACACAATACAACAGTCGTGTGTCTCCCTCTAAGTAAGCCTCCCGGTCCAAATACTCGTTGGAAAACGTGCAGCTCTGTATCTGCATCGAGACCGCTGAACACATCGTCCAGTATCACCAAGTCGGACTCTAGATACAAGGCACGCGCTAAGGAAACACGCTGCTTTTGACCTCCTGACAGGGTAATGCCATCCGATCCGACGTTGGTTTGATCTCCCTGGGCGAGTTCGGCAAAGTCTACTGACAATTCTGTGGCCTGGATGACTGAATTGTATCTCTTTTCATCATAGAGCGAAAAGCCAAGTATGTTATCGCGAATGGTTCCATTCCACAGAAAAGCAGTCTGTTCACAGAACCCGATACGAGGGTATCTCATACTCAACACTACACTCCCTCGGCTCAATGGTATTTCACCCAGAAGGGTCTTGCAGAAGGTTGACTTTCCGGAACCTACTGGCCCAATTACCATGGTAAGAGAAGACTTTTTGATGTGTGCATTGATATCTTGAAGAACAAAGACATTTTCCTTCCAGCCAAAACTGCCATTCTTTATACTGATCATGGTAGAGTCGGGTGCCGTTTCGATTTCTGAGCTTCCCGTGTCTGCTTCAACTTCAGTGAAACTGAGATTCTTCTTGCGATCCGACAGGACTTGGCGGAAGTCATGACGAGTCTCGCATTCCAAAAAGGCCTGGATTCGACCAATGCAGGCGATTCCAGAGACGAGCTCGGGTATGGAGGTGAAGATTTGAGAGAGGGGATTGGTAAGGAGCATCAAAAATGCCAGACTCGTGAAGACCTTTGAGGTATCAAGTGAAGCCCGAGTAAAGGCAAGGGTCAGTGGAGGACTGATGAGCATGGGTGTGAAGCCAAGCATCGCGGCTACAATGAAGATCTTTCGAAACCGAGCACCAGCAGCAAGCTCCTCCACTCGTAAGTTCTGGACGAAGGAGCTCACAGTGGAAGCCAGACCGGAAAGCTTGAGGTTCTTCATTCCAGCAATGACTGTGGCCGTCAAGCTGACGCGCTTCTGCACACCTGTCATCCACGCTCTCTGGGAATCTCCTGTGAAGTTTACCAGAACTCCCAAGAGAGTGAAGCATACCACAACTACTCCTATTGGCACCAGGAAGACCAGTCCCAACCTGATATACAACATCCAAGCAGCTAGGGCAGCCTGTATAACGCCTGCCCAGACATTATGCAGCATTCTGAGACCGAGTCTGATTCTTTCGATGTCAGTACTCATCAGAGTCAGAGCAGCGTTATGGTCCTCTGCTCCGATGCGGGCTTGTGTGGCTCTGGAAAATATTTCTGTCACCAATATGGATCTAGTCATGGCTCTCATGCGTTGATGAAGATACCTATTATATGTCAGTTTCGATCCAATGGCTTTCTAACTATCATCTGACGCACCAGCAAAGAGCTGCCGAGACAGCCATACCAAGGTAGATCAGTATTGCAGCACCTATAAAACCATATCCCACATTGGCTTCAATTTCAGGCTGCGAAAGATGATCTAACAGCTTCTCAATGAAGAATGGTTGACAGAAAGTGAAGCCTAGAAGAGCGAGTCTCAAAGGAATTGGCAGGAGGAGAGGGACAATAAGAGTCTTGGCGAGGACTTTGACGAGACCGTAGCTATCTCCTTTGAGCTTGCTGTAGTCCATGTTGGCCAAGAACCTATCATGGAGTTCCTTGGTATGCAGAGCAACATCCAGAGGGTAAAGATCATCCATGGAAAGTGTCGATCTGTAACCTTGCAGGAAAATACTGTTTAGCCATGACAGGACGCCGAGTGAGAAGATACTGCTGGTTTCTTCGGGACTATGCTCATCTCTGTCCCATGTTATCCATTTGTTCTTAGACTTGGTTTCCAGGAACAAAATGACGACCTTGACGGCCAAAGAGGTTGTAAAAACAGCACTGTAGGTAATCTCTGGTGTACTCTCAGAGAGGAGGAACAGCGTGCGGGACTGAGCAATGTCAAACAGTAGAGTCAGGAACAGAAAGGTGCTTAAGAGGATTGAGGGACGTGGACTCCTGTTATGGTCAGTATAACTGATCATCACCATAGCCAACGCTGCTAAGAGATTGATAACAGAAGATGCGATGAAGATTGGGGTGACATGGAAAGAACCAATGCCGACTTGAATCAGCAGTGCGATCTGAAGGCCAACATATGTTATGATAGCTCCCTAATACAAAGTCAGTAATGAATCTATGCTTTGGCGACGACATACCAATTTTATGAGCTGGAAGATTGGTGCATGAACCATTAGGGGCTTGCGTGACAGAGTGATAGCGCGCCATAGTGAGCATACGATAAACAAGGTGCATGGAAGAATAGAGAAGAAGAGTTGTTCAAAGTGAAGGCTGAAGTCAAACCGGTCCCGGTTCATGTACAGCAAGCCAAACTCGCCATCGTGGAATGGCATCTTGGCAGACTTGGCTGGTGTAAAGTGAAGAGCCTCTATAGCCAGAAGTGTGTAGATGGGATAATTCGTGGTGTTTTAAAGGTCACTATGTCCATGCGATACAGGTTTGTCTCGCTTTTCGAAGCCTTGCTCCGCTCTAATAATCTGGGTCTGAGACAATTTGGAAGGTAGTATCATTTCGAGGCGAAAGCGCCGTGACCTGACATGATCAGTTATCGTGACCCCTGCTCGTGTTGTTGGTTCTATGAAACGACCAACACTCAGGCAAGGTTAGATAGGACAAGTATTGTACCACTACATAAAACAACAACAACAACGATACAGAGTGATCGTCATGTGGAGTTGTAAGATCTGTAGCCATCTAGATCAACTTAAGTTAAAGCACAAAATAAACTACTTGGGAAGATCCTAAACTTATCCCCTGTGCGGGACGGCAACACTCCCGGTTGGGCTTACGCTCGACACCCCAGTCCAGCCCACTAAAACGAGCATTCTGTCAGAGTTCTTTTGATATGCAATCAGCGTCAAGGTTCTCGCACTTCCCGGACTTATACATAATGGGGGTAATCCAACACATACACCACGTTACATCCACCGGGGTTCCGGGGGTACTCACTCCGTGATTGGCTATCCAACTACTCTCAACTCGACCTCACACAGGGCAGCATCTCATTTCATACTGGGGATTTCTATGCACAAGACCCTGCTCAACACCAAGACCAAATCCATCAATCATTGTAGTCTAGCCTAACGAAACATCAAGATGCAAGTGAGCAAGATGTTCGTGACGCTTTCACTCAATATAAATACTTGTCGGCATGGACAGGTCTTGGGCTCCCCACGAACACAGCAGTCCAAGAAACGCCGAGAGATTTATCCTCTTCAAGTCATTAGCATGTTCTTGGATAAATTCTTGGAATCTACTCCCAAGAAACAGCGATCTCACTAAACCAGTAGCCCTAGGGCCTTCAAAGACGAAGGCAACAAACCAATCCCAGGAATTCCCCCAACTTATTCTCACTAACACTGAACTTGGCAAGAATTCAGAACAGACTATCTCAACGTAACCACCGTGAGTATGAGATGTTTTCACAACCTCCCAACTAGCTGACTATCTAAATGTAGGACGGAGAGCAAAAGAGAGCAGCGAGGCTACCAAGGTACAACCTCAACATCCAGGCGAAGGCATAAACTCAGAAGTGCTTCCTATATCCATGTCCGATAATAGCACAATGCAGCGAGGCCGTGGCCCCGACCGCACCCAGAGCCTCCACTACCTGCCAGGGGTCTGTCAAGAGTCTTTTCAGTATGCGAGCAGTCACTTCCGAAAGCTCAGTCAATTTGTTTCAACGCCAACAACTGTCTAACAGCCAGCTAGGCTCTGGTTCGGCCACTGCAACCTCAGCGTGGTATTTGGGGTTAACATGCATAACCTTATTACGCCAGACGACATGGTGTCTTTGTTCTCACCGGACCGGGAATGGTCACAGTCAGACTTAGAACGATTGTCACTATCAATAGAGTCCAACACTACCAGGCCAGTTTCTCTACCCCAGTGCTCCTGTTGTAACAGCTTACTATACTGTCTAGTTCAGCACAGGAAGTGTCCCATCAATCATGCAGTGTTCTAGCCGGGGCCGGTACTTGAAAGTCATACTGCAAAAACTTCACCAGGACAGTCAAGAATGGCCCAAGTGGGAGTCCCGGGGGCTCCATGAGAGCATGTCGACTACAACTGGTAAATATTAGTCCATTTACAATATGGTTTTGAAGAAGATACACTCTCTTATGTACTTGATACTAATCCAGTTTCATAGCATCACTTTGTGTCGATGAAATTGAGCAACTGGTCAAAGAAGAATTCCCAACACAAAGCTCAAGACAAATCACCATGTAATGGGACGACGCTCGAGCAACTCCTCTCAAAATACGACATCGGAAAGGTCTTATCCAGAACCAAAGAACAGTCGTTATCTTCCCTTCCCTCTGAGATAGCTCCAGATCAGGTAACTAGTTAACTAATACTGTACTTTTTATTTCGCTAACTGTAGGTTAGATACCGCACCTCTAGTCATTGTTAACTAAACTTACTAGCATACGGAACGTATATTACGACGAAATAGCTAGATTATTACTTAGTATTCTTCTTTTATCTAAGAGCCTTTTATGAAAGATAGATGCTAGACTTGGTTATATATTTGTTTCTAACAATGGTCACTGCAAAGATCAGATGCTGAAGGTTTAGTACAATGCTCATTCTTGAACTTATGCATTAGCAAGATCAAGAACAATCATATATCGATAGTGTTGCAGAAGAATTAAGCAATATACAAGTAAAGGGGATTAAACTGTTCCAACGTTCCTTCATAAGTTGCGCATTTTCCTAACCTCCCAAACTACCACACCATTACGGTTGAGATGCATTTGACTTGTTTTAATTCCGAGGTGTATGACAAAACTACCGTGTGTATTCACTTCCGCGGAAGCCGGATACTTACTTCATAGACTTTCGTACGCGTATTGGGCTACACGCGGCTTCCAGAGAAACTAGCGTTTTAGTAGTTGATTATCTCGCCGGTAGAGAGCACCCGAAAGCCGTTGTCTATCAGCCTCTGCGGTGGTCGTTCCCAGTTAAGGACCTTACCGCCTCTATCCCGGATATCCTGCCGCTTCTCATACCAACTGTCCGCTGTGACGGAGGTTGTCTGCCCTTGCACAGTTTTTAAGAAAATGGTCTTCTGCGGTGGCTTGGGCATTGCCGGCCACTCAATGGGCCTTGGAACGTTGCCTGAATGAGAGCCTGCTTCCCGTCGTTCCCGCCATTCCTTCAAAAGAAGTTGATATGATTCGACTGGATGGTCTAACTTTACCTCCGGATGCTTCTTCCACTCTGAACTAAGGTTTTCGAGGTTCTGATCTTCGTGGGGCATACTCCTGAGACTATCATCCTGAGTAATAATCTCATAGGTGGTGAATATGACACCCTTGACATCGTTCCGGTCCTCGACGTAGCTGTCACCCTCGCCTGGTGAGGTGCAGTTGATGCGAGCTGCGAAGTTGAAATCAAATAGCATGATAGAGTCTTTCGGTTCATCAATCAGGAGATTTCTTGGAGCGATATCTTGATGTGCGACGCCATGTTCAAGGTTCAAGATGTCTACGACCTCGATAAGCTGCTGTAGCCACTCGAGTTTGAAAACGCGTGACTTGTTCTCTTCCAGATTGCGGCCAGGCACGTAGTTGCTGGTGAATCCGACTACGCGACCTTCAAACTCGTCAACGACCACTCGGTCAAAGGGGACAATATTTGGGTGGCGTGGGAGACGCATCCATAGGTTCATCTCCTTCCAAGACATCTGCGCATACTGCCACAAGAAATAGTACTTAAAGACGACCTCTCAAGGGTCAGCTTTATCGTAGGGCAAGACATTCAAGGTCGGCACCTCGATTTTACCTTTTTAGCAGATCCTTCTATGCATGGCGAGTATTCAACAAGGTCCGCGTCAGGGCCAAGCCTCTCGAGTTCCTCAAGCTTGTCCCGCCGAACAGTCCGAACTCCTTCTGGGAGGCAGGCATCGGGAAGGGATGGATAGTGTACACAGCAGGTGGGATCGTTTTTGGAATCCGTATAAGTTGAGATGATCTCACCGTTAGGCGATACGTATAATCTGTGAATATCGAGTGATAGTCGATCACTATGGCGACTGAAATGTTCAATGGCGAGGCTCTCATCGTCCTGCTCGCCGTCCATTGTTACTGAAACAACTCGTCTCTGGTCCCAGTCGATAATATGCCAAGTGCTTGGTCCGCCAACTGGGATATCGCCGCTCAAGGAAAAATACTTGGAGTCTTTGTCAATCATGTTGTTGTATTTTATGGCAATTAAGGCATGAAGATGTAAGAAGTAGGAATTAAGGTAGGCAAGAAACCTCAGGACCTTGACCTAAGCGACAGAAATGACCAGGTAGATATAGCCCAACCTTAGGGGACTCTTTGCTAAATCCTTTCAAGTCTTGAGTTTTCTTGCTTCTGAGCGGCAGATGCTGGATGAATGTGTGGTGAGATGTATGGCTCGATTATCTTAGTCAGCCAGAGCCATCCTTTTGACACCCAGGGTGTACAAATGACTGTGAGGTACTTATTAAAGTCTTTTCCACAATAGAAGAGCAACTAGGTAGTATGAATTCTAGGGGTCTAAATAAATGAAGTCATCCAGAACCTAATATCAAGGCACAGAATGGAGTAGCGTTCTCGTTCAAAAATGACCGCGTAATGTGGAATGAGAACGCCCAACAGAATTCAGTTGGCCCATCGCAAGCAGCCCGAGCCCAGCTGATCACTAAACCCGACCTCACCTCACCTCACTCAGCGGGAAGCTCGGGCCCCTGCAACTCCCGCAGGCCCCTAAAACAACTGCCCCGCCATAGGAGTGATGTCGACGCTCAGCGCTGATTGGTTTCCGTCGTTCTCTAATGACCGGTTTCGACGGAGCGAGATTGGAGGACACCACAGAAACAAGGGCGAGCTTACCGTCATTGTACATACAATTACACTGCATGTGCTCCATGTTTTGTTTCTAGACCTTTTTTCTGCCTGTGTCTTTGCCGTTCTTGTATTTCTGTGCTTTTCCCTATGGTCACCACTGTATACGAACTCGGCTCCCTCGGTTGAGGTCCCCTTTCACCGTCATCTTTGTTTAAATCGACTATTCCTCTAGTTTGCTGCGACAGTTGGTCTTGTGCTTCGAAACAAATGCTCAAGGCATGGTGACGTCAAAACTTACCTTCTAAGATACCTCACCTTCAAATGCTACAAGCTTAATCGAGCACGTGCAGCTTCAAATCAGAACCACGACGACCTGACATCCGCCTGCGCGCTGCGACGAGATGCTTCTCCTCCATCAAGTCGGCAGCCTCAAGACAGGCGAAGTCGTTCGATATACTATAACATACATACCTTCTCAAGACAGGATCTTGCCGTCTCCTGAGAAGCTCTTCCTGCGCGTGCGCAACACCTCGGCCATCGCTCTCCGAGCCGCTTTCGTCCACGGACCGTATACTCTCTCCGCCGCCGCTTACCCCGCTGCGTTCAACCCCAACGAGAAGTTCGAATATCCCGAGCGTTATGGAGTGCCAGAGTTTGAGCCCATGGTCAAGGCGGGAGGCTCTTGGGAATGTGAGCTTGTGGTTCCGGTTACAATCCGACAGACTGCTGGGCTAGGAAGTCATGGAGGCTTTGGAAAGGCGCCAGAGCATGATCATGAAAGCGCCAGTTGGATTGTTGAGGTCTCTTCGCAGATTCTGTTCTCGACTTCTGCTGCTGTTGGCTTCGAGGTTGTGTTGGCTCGTGACAAAAAGTCCTTGAGCCTCAGCAGCTCGAGTCCGGTGGTCGGTGGACAATCCCAAGTTCCTCAGCCTGGAAAGATCAGCGACTACCAACAAGGTGTAGAGGCCAAAGAAGGACATCATTCTGCGCAGCCACGAGGTGTCTTTTCTCGCGCGATACAACTCAAGGTCGAAGATACTGCAGCACTGTGGAATACTCCTAGACTTCCAGGCTGGGATGACAAAGGAGAAGGGCGCGCTGAAAAGCGATCAGGTGCAGATCAGCATGTAGAAAGTGTCGTCAAGACTGGCGATCCCGAAACAAAGGGCGATGAATCAAAACCAGAGAAGCCCAAAAAGAAACAGAAAAAGGTCCACATGGTAGTTCTGACACATGGGCTGCACAGCAATCTTGGCGCAGACATGCTCTTCATGAAAGAAAGCATTGATGCAGCTGTCAAGCAAGCCAAGATCGATGCCAAGGCACGGCGGGCCCGGGAACGAGCCGCGAGGAAGAAATCAGGCAACGGCCTTGTCGAATCAGATTCTCACGATACAAAGGACATGGACAGAGTGGAGGGTGAAGATGATGACGATGATGATGAAGAGGTTATTGTTCGTGGCTATTCAGGCAACTCGACCAAAACTGAACGAGGAATTAAGTATCTCGGGAAGAGGCTCGCTAGATACGTCCTGTCCATGACATACCCAGATCAGCCATTCCTACCGACAGGGAAGGGAATGACGGATGCTATAACTCATAACTTTGATAAGCATGATCCCCAGCAGAAACCGGTACACAAACACAGTACTATTCATCTCGGCAAGGATGGGGCACATCTTCACAAGGCGGAACGTCCATACAAGATTACCAGCGTAAGTTTCATTGCTCACTCTCTTGGCGGTCTTGTTCAGACCTACGCCATTGCATATATACAAAAACACTCGCCACAGTTCTTCGACCTCATCAAGCCAATCAACTTTGTTGCTTTGGCTACACCATTTCTGGGGCTGAGCAACGAAAACCCTCTATACGTCAAGTTTGCCCTGGACTCTGGTCTCGTTGGCAGGACAGGAAAGGATCTTGGTCTGACATGGAGAGCGCCAACACTTGCACGGAGTGGTTGGGGCGCTATTGTAGGAAACCTAGGAGAGACGGCGCATAAGAAAGTTTACGGGGAGACGCAGCCAGAGTCGAAACCGCTACTAAGAATCTTACCGACTGGCCCTGCACATACCGCGCTGAAGAAGTTCCGAAACAGAACTGTGTACTCCAACGTGGTCAACGATGGAATTGTACCGCTTCGCACAAGTTGTCTTTTGTTCCTGGACTGGCAGGGACTCGGGCGTGTTGAAAAAGCTCGGCGAGATGCTGGCTTGGTCGAAACAGTCGTTGGGTTCGGATGGGCTGAGTTGACAGGCACGAATCAGGCTCGCCAGAAGCAACTTGGGAACGGCTCAGCAGGACAGTCTGGTACTTCATCTCCTAAGACCCACGAAGATATGCGCGAGGTTCCACAGCCACCAAGCACGGCTATGGTTGATGATGACAGGGCGAGTCTGCGTTCTGTGGCCACGCCATATGGCGATGAGGTACCGTCTGATTCTGCTGATTCAACCAACAGCGGACCATTGGCGGGATTCTTCAACTTCTTCAAGAGCAATGAGCCACCAAAGCCCCCCAACGTGTCGCAGAAGCAGAAGAAGATATACTCCAAGAGCCAGACTCTCAAGCTTGATGAGTTGGCTGATGGCAGTGTTGACACCGCTTCTGAGACCGCTTCGACTAAACAGTCCAAGGTTACAACTGGTCATGAGGGCGAAGATGAGATGACTGCTCCTCCAAGAACGACTATCTTTGAATCTGCTGGTGATCTACTCAACCCCAAGGTACCCGATGTTGAATACCTGATCGATCCATCAAAGCGGCCGCGAACTATCTTCCATGACCGCGTTTATCACCCAGCTGATATACCTGGTCCACCATTGAAGAGACGTCCTACTACATTGGTCAGGAGGAAGACGGGCCAACGACAGAACTCGATAGGACAGGCCTCTACCAGCAGCGCGGATTCGTCGCCATATCCTCATGTGAATCACGAGGACAGTTCATTGTCAGCTAAAGACTACGATGATACAGCGAACACGAATCCGGATAAAGATATTCATGAAGTTATTGACACTTCAAACATGCGAGTTGAGGAGAAGATTGCGAGAGCCTACCACAAGGACCTGTCCTGGAGAAAGGTTCTCGTCAAGGTTGAGCCTGACGCTCACAACAACGTTCTGGTCCGCCGTATGTTTGCCAACGCGTACGGCTGGCCTGTCATCAAGCACTTGGTCGATGCCCACTTCAGCGACTCGGCGGCCTCTCGCCTCCGCGACGAGGACGAACACAACCGCGAGCGGGCCCGCAACATGAACGAGCCTCCTGACGAGCACGGAGCCGAGCTCAAGAAGAGTCGAGACAACTTGGCAAGTATGACTCGAACGGATAGTGAGTCTCGGGAAGCTATGGACAAGGTATCGGATCTTCCGAAGCCACAGCAGTCTCAGAGAGGGAGCGACGCATCAACGCACCAGCGGCCTAAGGCGGAGCGAGCGGACTCAGTGACATGGAGCGAGCGAGACTGGCACGATAGCGACTGTGAGAGTGATCTCGATTTTGGAGGTGATCTGCCTGCGCCAACGTCCCCGTCGGCGCTTCATCAGCAGGACAAGGGCAAAGAGGCGCAGGGGCCGTCGGGCGGGTGGAACTGGGCGGAGAAGATTGTGGGCAAGGGAGCTTCACGGGCGAAGAGTCCCGTGCATGAAGCTAAAGATGAATAAGCCTGGGTTTTTTAACGGTGCGCATTGTATTATACGACTATGGATTGAGAAGAGATGGGAGTTCATACAGGATAGAAGGGGCGTTGAAGCGCAGCATGTCAATACCACGACAATGAATCTAGAGCCAATCCAACTGATCAATACACGGAATACCAATTCCAGTGGGAATACGTGTCCTTGAACTTATCGTAAGAGCTAGCTCTAAGTATTAGCTCGGAGCTTGAAGAAGCAAAGCTGTAGGTCTCAGTTCCCATGTCTCAGGTACCAGACATCTGGGAGCACTAATCGGTCGACTGTAGCACCAAAAAAGGCAAATGGGGCTTGAGTCAAAAAGAATCTCCATGATGCGAACTATGGGGAAGTGGGCAGACAGATTCTGTAGGCTAAAGACTGTGCAGAGTCGCCCTGCATAAAGAGGCTTTTGAGAGGTGTTCGGTATGGGATGTCAGAGCGTTGGGATCGAGATCTATATGAGACATGGCTTGAATGATGATGAGCAGACTATGGACATTCTTTCAGGGGAATTCGAGTTGTTCGATTGTGTAAAGTCTGGCGATCTGAAAAGATTTGCTTCTTGAGAAGGGCATTGTAAATATGCATGTTGATCAAGGGACATCTAATAAGGTTCAGGATGTGAACCCTCGAAGTTAAACTCAAGGGCCCATAGTTAATACAAAAAGCAACCCGTTGGTAGTATCAGATGCAAAAACGGCAAAAAGAAGGTACAACAGCGGAATCTAACCGCCTATGCTGGACGAACAGGGAATCGAACCCTGGACCACTCCCAGATGATTCGGATGAATTATGCTAAGGGAGTATTATACCACTAAACCATTCGCCCGAGGAATTGTTGAAGAAGAGACTGGAAATGTGTGCTAAGTCGGTGGGTTGTGAGAATTGGTGATAGTGTCGATTTGTGGTGGGGTTAGAGGTGAGTGAAGTGGGGGGCTTGAATCGTGCAGGCTGAATCTCTTGGCCATGGCAGTGCATTCAGAAGATGCAGATGCAGCAGAGAAAGATGGAGACTGTTGTATTTATAAGAAGAATAAAAAAGAGGTTATTGCAGTCGCAGTATCAGAGCGTCATGTCCTATCAAATATCCTCGTGGTAATAACTAGAGAATACACAGAAATCGAGAGTCGATGCACGTGTAAATCAAGTATTAATCTATTCTCCAACCATGACGACCATGTGCGTCACCGTCCATTTCTCTCTGGGCTGGGGGCCTCCAATTCCACTCCCAGCCAGCCCAAGCAAGCAAGCAAGCAAGCTCCAGCTCCAAACAAACTCCAAGTTCGGGAGCTCACTAGAAGAAAAAAATCATCGTCGTCAGCTTCGCCACGGTTCTAGCCCATCTCTCTCATAGAATCCCTGTGCAATTCCTCTCCCAACCAAAGTTGTTGAGCTGGAGGCAAACAGTTCCTCTCTACTAGTCGCTTTTTTTTTCCTCCTTCACCGGCTTTCCTTTCTATCCGTGCGGTTCTTGCCATAAGGATTTATATTACGGACGTCATGCTACGATAGTTTAACTTTGCTGGTTCTACGCTTCTTCTTACGGCGAGCTTTTCAACTCTCTCTGGCATTACTCCCTCTAGCGCATTGCAGCAATCGACTGCCAAGATGATGAGACTATACCTCCTACCGCTCTCGACGCGGCGAACTCTCCTCTATGCGAAACGGCTCGAAGCAAATACTGCGCCACAAGGCAGAACATATGTCGACAAGGGCACTGCCTGGGCAGCCAAGACGTGGGCGCAATGGGAGAAGATGGAGTCTGGATGGAAGCGCAAGGTCGTCGATTACGGTAACTACGCTTTTCGTCGCATCCCATATGAGGAATGGGGTCTGAAGTCTGTGCCGCCTCTGTCGGTGAGACAGCGTGGGAAGGAGATTGAGATGAAGGAAAAGGTCGACTTGTGCTTCCCGAGCTCCGTGATACCGCCGAACAAGGCGGAGGGTATCCTCAAGACTCTTGCGACGGAGCGTCAGGCGCTGCACAAAAAGAGGCTTGTGTGGTGTATTGTCGGAATGCCGATTACTATTCCATTTGCGCTTGTGCCGATGTGAGTACATACCATCTTCTTTGCTTTTTTTCCTTCTCGATCCGCTGACTAACAGACTCCAGCATCCCTAACCTGCCCTTCTTCTACCTCGTCTACAGAGCCTGGTCACACGGCAGAGCCATCTCAGGTGGAAAGCATCTCCAATGGCTGCTCGAGAACAAGCTCCTACGCCTAGCTCCCTCTGAGAAGCTCGACCAGCTCTACGCACTACATGCCCCGCCAGCCGAAGAGCCGGACAATAAGGAGCGTACCCTTCTTACACAAAAGGAAGTTCAGACTTTCTCAGACACTCTTGACATGCCGGCTCTTGAAGTGGAGCTCGAGAGGGCTATATGGCAGGTCGAGCAAGCCGTCCAAGACCCAGATAGTCCGAGCCCACCTAAAGAGAGTTCACCTGGTGCAGCTGCCGAGAAACCAGGGTCCACTGAAACGGTGGACAAGAAAGATCAATGAGAAGAGAAGAAGAATTAGTTATGTACGCATGAGTTTTCTTTATGTTAGACGATGTATGATACCTATGTACTGAGGCAGGAGTGTATTTTGGCACGGTCAAAGAAACGGTTGGTTGTATTTGTATCTTTATTTGTATTTGTGTTTGTATTAGACGGGAGTGAATACCTAGGGAAAGGCAAAGGTGAAGGTAAAGGTAAAGGTAAAGGAAAAACAGGCGTAAGTACGCGGGTATATCTATAGAAAAGGTCCTCTCCCCAACGCGCCGCGCCTAACAAATGTTGGCGTAGTGATACAATCGCAATTATCATAAAATTCATGGCTTTTCGTTCATCTTGGCCCTTCCGCGCAAGTCATAATGTATCAGCTGCTCTGAGCATATCGCGGACCTTGAGAGCGGGGAGAAGCCCGACGAGACCCATGGCCAGCACCATCCGTCTTGTCCTGAGACACGTGAGATCGGGAAGACGGATGTTGCTGGCAATTCGATGGGCGTCAGAGAGTGAGAAGTTGAGGCCGAGATTCTTGAGACCGGGCATTGAATAGAGACAGTTCTAGAGATTGTTAGACAGATTCTTGGTGAGATGCACTGAGGAATAACTTACACGGCTCTTTGGTGGTGCTTTGTATCCCATGACAGCAGCTTCAGCATATTCATACTGAACAACCTGAGCACTCAGAACATGTCCTCTCCAAGCATCCGCTGCCTTTACGCGGAGGAGTCGTTGAGTGAGAGTGTGAGATCCAGGAGGGCCTCGTCGACTTCTTCTTCGGCGCACAATACGTCCTGAAGCTGTGGCATATTTGTTCTCGGGTCCATGGGTCGAAGGGTTGAGAGGAGATGGAAAGACTGGGGCGTACGAAGACGCATTGTGATAGGTACAGGCCACCATTTTTGCTGTCGTTTTTGTTGTTTGCTTGATGGTATTCAGTATATTGTCTGAAGGATGAAAAGAGAGGAATCTCAGAGGGAGACCAAGTTATGGAATATTACTCTTGAGGGAGATGTAAAAGAACGAGGGATGGTGATACTATCTGCACAAGAGGATATCCTCGAATCCTTATATTCAATTCCTCTCGAGTAAAACTGACACTAGTGCCATCACTCTATCCTCCCCAAGCCATGTAATTAGAGAGAAAAATGATCTCCAGGGGCTGGACGGCCCAAGACTATCAGAGTAAAACATCGATGTTCTACATTAGAGGAATGCTCTCTGCGCGTATAAGTCGTGACCCTTGACAAAGATGGAGGTCTCCACCAGCAGAAATGGTTCGGTTCGATGTGGAGTGGAGGCTCAAACTCGTTCTAGTCAGGTACAGAAAGTGAGCTGCAGCGACTCAGATGATCAGACACGGAGCACTAGAAAAAGCAAGGAGACGTGTAGACAAAAAAAGGAGTCTGAAGAGAAACTACTGCAGGTCACAGCAGGAAACGAACGGGAAAAAGAGACTAAGAGATTGTGACGAGACAGACACCAACGGGCGAGACATGAGGATCCTGTGGTGGGAGTGGAGAGGCTCGTGTCTTCTTTTCCATCCCTTGATATCGTGGGCGGGGGCCAGGAACAGAGACCTGACCTGATAAACTGCCAATATTATTGGCTTTTCTCCCTCAATTGTTAGAATCCAGAGTTAAGAGAAACCCCTTCAGTTGTAGAGTATATCCATTCTATCCATTGTGAGAAAGGTTTGATGGGGAACTAGACAATGGGACTGTGGAACGTGGTCCATGATCTCAGCTAACGAGGGGGGATACAATGATCGTACCCATCCATTATTTATCGGCCCGCGAGCTACTAACAACAAGACCTGAACTTTACGCGTCGAGACGTGTCAGTCAAAATAAAGATCGATTCAAGCTGAGCTAGCCTACAGCTTTGGTTGGTTGGTTTGTTAGTTTGTTAGTTAGTCAGTTACTGCAACATAGAATAGATAGTTCAAAAGCTGAAAGGGCATCATTGTTCCATCTAAGTTAGTCCTAAGCGAGTGAGTTGACCAAGACCTGTCCGTCCGTCTACAACGCCGTCCCTTCCCCTCCCCCTCCTTCTGATCAAGTCCGATTCCGACTTGAATTGTCCGATCTGATTACTGTATTACCCAATGTTTGATGCAAAAGTCGTACTCTGAAAAAACAATAAAAACCATTGAGGTCCTCAAGAACGACACCCGAAAAAAATAAAAAAGAGTGGCATCGTCTCTTACTCTATCGTGCTTCTACCTCATGAGATGAAAGTAGCTTCGGTAAAGATGGTGCCCTCCTCGACGATCTCCTCATCTCCAATCTTCAGCTTCAGGGAGAGCTTGGGATGGTACTATAGATTTTATAGTCAGCAAGGGGGTTGAGTTCAGACCAGTCTCTCGGAAATTAAATGAAGGAAAACCCGTACCTGATAGATGTATGGCTTTGTGCCAGCTGCAGCTGCGACAATGGTCTTGACGAAGCCGGGGACTTCGGCCATGACGTCAACTCGATCGACCCTCTCTCCGAGAGATCCCTCGACCGACGCCTCGACGGCTTTTCCGTCCTTGGTCTTTCCGGCCCAGGTGTATTTTGCGTCGCTCGGTTCAGGCCAGTCATTCTCCGAATCCTTCTTGACCCGAGTGTGCGTGGCCGTGTTGTCGACGCCGCCGATGACAATCTCGCCATCCTTGACAATACCACCCACGTTGACGAGGGTAGAGCCGTACGAGGGAGTGCTGGTGAACTCCATCAACACAGCTGAATAGGTGGGACCCTGAAAGTTAAGAAAGTTCCATCGAGATGCAGCGTGGTGCGGCTTCATGCCCTGAAGGGCGTAAGCGAAGAAAGCCTTGCCCTTGAAATCCATGGGGCCTTCCTTTGTGGTGATGGTGCCCTCAGCAACACAGCGAGGCCAGAAGACGTGTCGCATAGATCCCCATGGGTTCTCGAGGTCGGTACCGTAGAGGGTTGTTCCTGTGGTTCCGGCCTGGAAACCAGGTGTAGAGCGGGTGATCTTGAGGTTGACGATGGCGTTGGGGTCGTTCATGCTCTTGATGGTGTAGTAGGTGCCATCCTCGGACAGCTCGATCGCGCAGTCGTCGGCGTAGAAACTCGTCTTGTCCTCGTTGAAGTCGTGGTTGCTGAGGGGTGTAGTGGCCCAGACGTGGGGCTTGGAAGGGTCTGAGCTAAAGACCTTTGCGCTGAACTGGCAAGTTGTTCGGATGCCACTGTGAAGATATTAGCAGAAGCCGTGTGCTATTGGAAACTCGCAACATACGCTACGTTACTATAGATGAGCTGAGCAAGGGCAATGTAGCCGTTGTCGCCAAAGATGTAAAAGGTGTGCGTCTCAACAGACGTAGAGTCCATAGCCTGCCACTTCAGGTCATTTCGAGAGGTCTCGGTGTAGGGAGTCTTCTCGGCCTCTGTAGCGACAGACTTGATGGCAGAGGGGCCGTAGATAGGCTCCTGGGTGCCGGCGACATTGGCCAGTCTATAGCGGTCAGTATTTTTTACATGAAGCTCTCCAGGGTCCATCTCATGGTGGGGTCAAGAAGGATCTGAGGGGGGAGAGTTTATAACGTACTGTTGCTTGGCCCAGTTGAACATGATGAACGTGTATGAGGATGTGTTTTGTGTGTGTAGGGGGGAGAGAGAGAAACAGAGAGTAGGGATCTGCTTCGAATGAGGTTGATGGGATGATGGGTCGAGAAATGAAGGAAATGCTGGGGACGTCGTTAATTAGCCCAAGGCTGGCTACTACGGTACGGCATGGATGGATTGGATACTAGAGCTGCAGTCCCAAATATCGATGTCACTTGCACACCGCTGGGCCTGTTGTTATGTGGCGGCACTCGCTTGATTTTCCCGTGGGTCATGGAGGGGTACTTGGATGATACTGTGGCTGGTGTCAAAATTGATGATGTGGGGAATGACGTGTGTTGAGCATAAACGCGTACCAAGACGCGTCTATCCTTTACAGTTTTTTTAGTAGTAGAGTACAGTGTCTTATATGCACGTTACACTGCTGTAGAATATCCTCCTTACAGCGCGTTGAGAAACATGAGTACAAAGGTGCAGTCTTGCGCCACGCATGTCATTGAATAGGAGTAAAACTGCTTATTTAGTGTCGAAGAAACCAATGTGCTAATGTAATTCCCGTAGCTTCCGGCATCCACTTATTGTAAATCAGCGCCGGGCTGGCCTGGCCGCCTGGTAATCTCATCTCAGAATCATGCCCAAATGGTCCCATGATGCTGAACTTACCCTACAGACAATCCTTGGAATTTACAGGAGTCATGACATGCGAAAATTGCTAATAAATTGTCTATCCCAACTAGGAACGTGGTTTTATTGTTTCTCGTTACGTGGTATAGCATACTAGGTAGCTGTTTCGCGACGATTGACCTGGTGGCATCTCTGTCGTTGAATGCATCAATGGATGTCCTCAATCACACAACCACGACAAGAGATACCACCAAGGAATCGACTATACCTCACACAATGGTCAGAAAATAATGAATTATCCAAAACATCGAGAAGAAGCATAAGTGTACCATACAAGTCAAACCCATACAAATAACAGTCTACATTCCGTACTCCTCTTGTAAAGGATAACCTAGGGCACATACACCCATTCATCAATAGGAACGAACTTACTTTAATCAGTATGAATACGGAGTATCGGACTCGATTATCTCGGATCTACTCAATAGTTTCGGGTATGCAAACATACTGGTAAATACGAAATGTTAAAGTTTACCTTACCTTATCTTATCCCTCGGACAGGGGCAACAAAGGAACAAAGTAAAGTTCCCAGGCACTGCAAAACGACCAATCAGAAGACGCCTTTACTTATTACCTGCAGTCTAAAACCCTTCGGCCCGCCATCTACTGAAGCGACACTGGGGGCTTCAGTGCGCGACGCGCTCGGTCACTGGACTCGATTTGACTTCTGATCCTAACTTTCCAAATCCAACCTCAAACTTGTCTCTTTCCTCACCAGCCCGGACCAGCCCAAAACTTTACCTTGTATATTCCAACTTTGCACCAAATCACGAATTATAAGTTCGCGATTGCCACAGACACATCAGCCGTATTGCGCCTCAAAGTCATCGACGCTTGCCCTTGCGCGTCAGTCAGAACTTAACTGCCGAGCAACCACCATCTTCACAATCTTTATCGAGCATTATCGATAACATCCCGCGCGCTTCTCCCTATCGATTACTTACCCTACCTTACCTATTACCTTGCTTCATCAGCCCTGTATCCCGTCGTTTTGCAGGCAATTGTCACCATGGAGGAGGACGGGGCGCAACTCCTGCAGCAGACAGGACTCGATCCTATTTCTCGACCAGACTCGACTTCGACGTCTGCATCAGCCTCATTACCACACGTATTACCAGGCATTTCGGCTCTCGCTGCTGCCAACGCTGCGACAGAAGCGACATCTCAACTAAGGTAAGATAACCCATGAACTGTTCGTCATTCGTGACAATGAATGCGCGATACTGTCGACTTGCGCTCGAGCCTCCATCGAACAAAAACCCTCCGACACCTCCATTACCAAAAAATTGATTGTTAACTAACCCCTGTCTGCAGAGCATCGGCCGCTCCGTCGCCCGCAATGTATGCCACTGCATCTCCTGCCGCTACGAGTGGGGGATCTGGAAGTACAATGGTAAGTCGCGATCATATTTCATTATCACAATCTTATCAGCACTTCCCCCGTTGCACTTTATATGCTGGGTCTGCAGCCGACATATGTCATTTCCTGCAATCTTATCTCTCGAGAACGGATGCATCCTGTCACGTTTTTTGCGGCGCCAGCTCATTTGGCCCGGCCTTATCGCCGCTGATTGATATAATCACGTGTCTTATCTCCAAACCTTGCCACACTAATCCCTTACGGGATGGTCGATGGGTCTCGGGCTTATCTGGCTTATCAAGCGCAGCCAGTTACGTTGCAGCCAAAGAATTTTACTCCATCCTCTTATCGTGGTCGAGATAATACTCATCGATCTCCCTCCCGCTTTCGCATTGCACTGCACTGAACTCACTTCACACTCAACAACCGGCACCATGATGGCAACTAACGGATCAACGCAGCCTACCTGCCAAAACTGCAGCACCTCTACAACGCCATTATGGCGTCGCGACGAATTTGGCTCGGTTCTGTGCAATGCCTGTGGCTTGTTCCTCAAGCTGCATGGTAGACCCCGGCCAATTTCGCTCAAGACAGACGTTATCAAGAGTCGCAATCGAGTCAAGACAATGCGCCCTGATTTGGCGAATAAGAAAAAGGTTAGTTCAATGCGCTCAGAGGCATTGCGCATTGCTAACGCGGACTAGCAACAACAACAGCAGCAGCAAGCAGCTGCGCAAGGATTCCCTACGACCGATGCAAATGGATTCGACACGACCGGACAGGCTGCTGCCGCTGCCGCACATGCTGCTCAAGCCGCGCGACGAGCGTCCCAGAGATCGAATGGCCACGACGGAGCCGACTCACCAATCTCCCGCACGGGTACCCCCTCTATGTACGCGCATGGCCTGTCCCAGTTCATGGTCGACGACCCTTATCAGACCGGCTTTGTCGCAACAGGGGAAGGTCGCGCGTCATCTCCCACGAACGGGGATCGCAAAATGGACGCGCCACAGACGCATGAGCAGCTTATTGCGCACAACTCAAGCCTGAAGACGCGGGTCAGCGAACTCGAAGTGATCATTGAGCTTTTCCGAGGTCGCCTTAGCCAACTCGAGCAACAAGAAGCTGTTGTTAGAAGCGGACAGCAGCTGAACCAGTTGCGCTCTCAACTGGAGCAAACACAGGAGAGCGAGGCTCAGCTACGCCGACAGCTCGAGGATAGCCACCGACGAGAGAGTAGCCTCAAGCGACGTCTAGATGACCTTGAGCTCGAGCTTCAAGCTTTACAAGGAGCCAACTTGGCCCCTGGAGAAAGACCCGCTAAGAGACCACGTACCGTTGAAGAGCCCACAAAGACACAAGCAGAAGCAGATGTTGAGGCTGCTGCTGAAGCATTGCTGGCTTCGGAAGCCTCTAGACCGAGCGAGGCTGTTGAATCTGCCCCTGTCGCGGATGCTACCGAGCCAACCGAGTTACCACAACATTCTGAGAGCTCAAAAGAGGATTCTGTTCCCAAAACCGATGATGAGATCGAGACCGCTGACGTTCCGATTGATCCTAACATGCCCGTAATTGATGATGTTTCCCAACCTGCGGCCGCAGAAGAAACAACGAAAACGGAGGATGTTGAGATCCCTGACGCACCTGATGCATCTGAAGCCCCTAGCGCGCCTGAAGCAGCTGAGGCAGCTGAGGCAGCTGAGGCACCTGATGTCGCTGCCGCCGCCGAAGCCTCTCCCGAGGCTACTGAAGGGACAGAAACTCCTGCGCCCGCTACTGCAGCTACATGAGAAGAGTGATGTTGTAAACGTCTCCGATTAGTAACGAAATGAACTTGATATCCGCGCCAGTCGTTTGAACTGACGTATCATTTGTCATTGAACCAACGCTACTGTCAGATTCATTGCTCGGTGTCTTGGCACCAATTACGACTCATCTTGATTTATACCCCCCTGTGCGAGGCGTTTGAGGCCCTCGCCTTTTTTTCCATGATATACCTCCTAGCGGCCAGGGCAGCGAGGATTCTAGGCGTTTTGGCCTGTTTGTTTCGAAGTATAAGAGATGATTGAGGATCATACAAATGTTTTAATGGGGCGATTAATGCGAATGCGAAACTCGGTATACGGATACACGGTACGAGGATTCAGTCTCGAGAATGTGGGACGTCTCGGGTGCATGCATGTGTGAGAGGAGATGGAGAATATGGTAGTTATCAAAAAGTTTAGCTGCTCTTGCAATGGAAAATAGACCCTGACTTTGATTCATCACTTATCTGATATGATATCGATAGCATACCTAACTCGTGAAGCATGGCGTACAATGCGAGAGGCCTCAAACGTTAGGTAACTCGGGCTGCCAATTTATTTATTCACCTGCATGATGTATCTATGCTTTCTCTCTCTCTAGACTAACGTAATTTCTGGTCCCTCGAATCTCCTGTATTGCCTGTCTTTTGTTCTCCTGACAGTGATTGCCAGTGATTAACTGTCGCAGTCACGTGCTCCAGCAAAGATGATACAGAGTAACAGAACAACACAAGGTCCCCTCCAACCAACACAGAGAGATCACGCAAAGTATTCATTCCATCGACAAGATCCCCAGTATCAGCTCTGCCGCTTCAGATCGCAATTTATCAGGGCCAGTTTCGCGTTACTCAATTCAGTGGTGTTTCTCTCATTCTCAGCTCACGCTTCACGATGCCCACAGTACCGACTCGAGGCGGCCCTTCGGGATCGCGGCCCACGTACTCAGGCGGAAAAGTTGTACCTTTCCAGAAGAAAGGTCAAGTTATCCGTGGCGCTTCCGGTAAGACGGTCCTAGGAGGTCGTCGCCATCGGTAAAGTCAACCCCAAGGGCAAAGCAAGACAGTGGAATTGTATACTAACAACCTCATAGCAAAATTCTTCGAGATTCAATTCAAGGAGTCAGTAAGTTATACCACTCATCTCTCCCTAAACGTCAC